TGGCAATTAGGTCTAACCGTTTTAGTGTTGAACTAGCTCGATGCAACCGTCTGTCCTATTCTATGATTTTCTTTTCTCGCCTGTGAAACTCGCTTCCGATTTCTTGCATCCTTGCCATCTACAATTTTCAAAAATTTAAATACAAAGCCATTTGCCATGTTCTGTCTTCCTGAAACCTATTTTTTTTATTGTCCTTTCTCTTCACTTCTATTCACTAATTTTTTCATTCTCTTTCACTCCCTGTAACCCCTTGCATCTTAGTGGTTCTATCTGCCATGCTTAATTATGAAGCTCTTCGTAGCTGAGTGGTCAAAAGCACTTCGAATCAAACGATGGTTTCTTCTAAAAAATCCTATCGGAACGTCTACTCAGATAGGGGCATCCACTAACAATGTTTAAAGTGATAAAAATTTCGGATCAACAAATAAAAAATCCATTACTTTTTTAATGATATATATATATATATATATATATATATATATATATATATATTATATATTTTTCTAAAAAAGTAATGGATTCATTTTCATTTCTACATTTTTTATTACTTCGAACGTTATTATAGTGGATACTCGTATTTGAAATAAACGCCCCGTTTTTATTTTTACTATAAACAGTGTGCATTGCGTCTATCGGCCTGGGTACCCGAGAAATCTCAATAAAGAGAATGTGCTCTCCGGCCGGAAATGAAGCTGCGCCCACCTTTGTAGGGGAGACCACCCTTTGATATGGAGAGCACATTTTCTTTCGTGAATGGGCGAAATGATCGCAAAGTAGCGTAAAGTGGCGTCCACTGGTTAATAAAGTGTTTAGGTGAACCCTTGGTTTCTACGTGTGTCACAGGAACACACCTTACACCATATATGGAAGCACAATCAGCCTGCTTGCTGACAGCTAAAGCCTATGGCCTCATGGTATTTGCATTAGAATCTTACTAGATATCAGGAACCTTGATCTATATATTCCACACGTTGCAAGTCCTTTATTTTCAAATTAGCGACTTTACAAGCCTGCGTGGCGTTGTGTCCGGTGTCATGGTGTTAATAGGGGCAACCTGATAGTTTTTTTTTGTTTATCAGCAAACCCAAGCCAAGCCATTTGAACGCACCCCACACAATTACGAAACACTTCCAACATACATACTTTGTTGGCAGTTGGTAGTTCATAGCGTCATGGGGTCTGCACCAACTTAAAATTGCATTGACAATCTGCACAAAACAACTACACTCTGAAATTATTAAGCAAATCATATAAACTTCAATAATTCAAATTTGGTCTGAAAAAAATTGTTAAATTTTAAACAATCAATTTAGATGTCTAACCAAAGCCCGGGTTAAAATTCTAGGTAATATCAATATGTTTTATTGAAGTTATTTGATGGATTCTAGAGAACTGTCGGTTGAATTTATGAGACAAAACCAAATAATCATGTTTTACTTCAATAAAAAAGCAATAAAATCATCAAAAATGGATCAACATCTATCATAGAACAAATAACAAACCCATATGATAAGTCTTTGGATCCTTTACATTTTAATGACCCTTCTTCTCAGTAACAGTCTGCAATCTATCATCCATTGATTTGTTATTTTTTTTACTTCAGTAGGTTCAATTTTCGACATGATAGCTTTAATTATTTCCGATATGTCTGCTTTGTTATTATATTATTTGCCACCTTCATATAATTTCATCTTTACAATTGACCATAGATTTTCGATCGGATTCAGATCAGATCGCCACCGCATTATCTTCCTCCTGTAAATCTTTCATGCTCAAAGATTTCAGGGGTAAGCTTAGATACACAAGAAGGAACATTTATTCGAACCTGCATGATTTAAAAAATAAAAGTACCATCAATCATCACTCCTGTAGATACCGGTGATGTTTGAGTTGTAACAATAATGTTTAGATTTCAGAATGTGGAACGCAGCGAATCACCAGACGAAGATGGCATAGTCACTGACGTTTTGAAAAAAAGAGGGAGAAAAATTTCGCAAAAGATTAGCAGTTATTTACTCAGTGCATTCAAAAGAATATGCCTCAAGATTTTTGTCTAAGACTAATCATTCTACCATCAAAGCTCGTTCATCCATCAACTGAAACAAGCAGGTTCTGCTTCAAGATGTCTTTAGATATTTCAAAGCCTTAGCAAATTAAATATAATCTAATCTCTTGATAGTTTCCAAAATAATTTTCCCAATAGAAAGCTTTCGTTAAAAAAAAACAAAAACTCAGTACCGTGTATTTTTCTCCGGAAATATAGATAGAAGCTCATAATACATCAAAACAACATGATTTGTTATGATTAACAAACTATTAAACATGTTCAGACTGACCCATTTCATGTTCAATACAATGCTGAACCCTATCAGCAACACTTCTAGAAACCATTTGACAGATTCCTATATTAATTTCCGAAAATCCATCAGAAATTGCTTGTTTTAATGCAGGATTTATTTTTGGTTTGAGCGTGTAAAGAAGATCTTTCAGTAGATTCCACAAGAAAAAAAATCTGGTGGTCTTAGGTCTGGTGATCCCGAGTGCCACTAAAGGGATCCACATCGTCCTACCTATCTCAACTCAAAATTAAGAATTAATCATACCTGATACATAGTTAATCATCTTAAACTACTGTAATTTATTTTTGTTCAAAAAGAGTTGATATATAAATGGTGTGTTATTTTTGCCGCACCCTACCTTGTCTGTTTACCTACCACTCTCACCCCACCCTGTTAAATTTAAAATATTACACTACCCATCAATTTCTAATCACATTTTTCCTTTCATTTCGTTGTTGGAATTGTTACCTGATGATCCGGAGTCCTTCAAAAAGGATTATGGTGAAATAAATTATTGTAATGTTACCTTAAAGTGGTCTGCTTTTTTATTATATATATATATATATATATATATATATATATATATATATATATATATATATTTAACAACGAAAAAAAAAAATTTTTTTTTTTTTCCTTGTTGGAATGGTAAGTCCTTTAAAAAGGATTTTGGTGAAATAAATTATTGCAATGGTACCTTAAAGTGGTCTGTTTTTCATTAAATATTAGCTCTGTATTCATTGAGCTCTCAGGATTTCATCCTCCTTGGAATTATCCATTCGGTTTTCCAAGTTCTTCGTAACTTAACTATATATATATATATATATATATATATATATATATATATATATATATATATTTAGAATAATAAAAAATATCAAAAAAGTTAAATTTTCAGACACACTGGGGTGTATATTAATATTTTTTATCTTATTATTTCAATTAGATTCCTCGACTAATTTCATCATGAGAAAAAAATACCTGCTTGTTAATAACAGTGAACTACAGAAGTGAATGACTGTCTCTAAAGAAATTTAGTTTTCATTTGCTTTTTTATCGTTAATTTTGGCCAGACCTTATATTGGTTAAATGCCGCTTTCAAGTTGTTTTAAAATAGAATCTGGATGTTTCAGAATTCCCTCCTTGGTCATATTGACAGTTTTATTGGTTGCTGGAGAAGTGAAGTTAAAATTTTGGTTACTTTGTCGGCTAGTTTTTGTGGGACGCTATCTATTCCTGGTATGATGGGCGTCATCGGGCTATGTATTTTTAGTAACCCGTAGAGTGTGGATATTTTGGGGTTATGTTCGATAAGTTTTAACCAGGAACTGTCTTCATTTTTTAATAATTTCTTGGTTTCGTTTTTAAATTTTTGTCTGTTTTATGACGTTTGACTCTCACTTATATATATATATATATATATATATGTAAAAGGGAACATTAAAGTCAACACACAGAAGCGACAGACTGTTTCATGCTAGACGCAGTCATCAAGCGGCCTGACAATTTTCTGGCACGAAACAGCCTGTCGCCTCTGAGTTTTGACTTCAATGTTCACTTTTATATTAATATTTACATACGCTCTATCTCTGATATTTAATACTTTATCCCATAAATATAGCACACCTTAAAACTACATTTCTTTATATATATATATATATATATATGAAATAACCATACATAATTTTATATATCAAGAAACAGTATTGAGAAAAATATATTTTAAGCACACCTTAAAACTATATATATATATATATATATATATATATATATATATATATATATATATATATATATATATATATATATACACATAATCGATCCGTTGGTATGTAATCCGGGTGGATGCTAGTAATATTAATTATTAAAACTGATCCACAGAGAGCTCGATGTATTTATTATGACAGAGCATATGTATTTTTTACAGCAAAAAAAGCAAAAATTATTTTAGTTTTTTACATACATACATACATATATATATATATATATATATATATATATATATATATATATATATATATATATATATATATATATACCTCCTGCAACATACGGATTTGGTATTTGATGTATATATATTACAGCAAAAACTAAAATAATTTTTGATTTTTTTTGCTGTAAAAATACATATATGCTCTGTCATAATAAATACATCGAGCACTGTGGATACATATATATACATGTGGATACATATATATATATATATATATATATATATATATATATATATATATGTATCTATGTATGTATGTATGTATAACCCCGTTCTCTTCCCGTACAAGTTTCCTAGGCTCCGTTTGTTTAGTCCACGTACATCCGCTTGTTCCGATATCTCAATCTTCACACGGCAGTTGGATAAGCAGAATTATACAGCTTCCGAAATGGTTTAGGAATTGGTGCCAGTATAAGTCTTCGATTGTCCAAGTCTTGGTTCTTCAAGAGTTGTGATTCTTACTGACGAAAAAAGTTGTCTTTCTTTTTTTAGTCAATAAGTCGTGGTAAACTTCTGGTTGACACCTGAGATGACTAGAAAATAAACTCAAGCCCCCACCGAAGAAATAACAATACCGTTTATGGTTAAATATAGACACCTCCTGGGTAAGACGATAAACAACGTCCAGCAGCAAGGCCTCTGATCAGGAGGTTTTGAGGAGCTTGGAACCATCTCTTAATTGATGGTCCCAGGTCCGCCCTGACCCGGGGTGGTAGCACCTGTTAGGGTCTAAGCTATGGGCAAATAGTTAACCCCGAAACTGGAGTAAAAACACTATGAAAGTGTAAAAACACGTTTTAATCCCAGAAATACTTTGTAAAAAATATTATTTCTAGCAATAAAAAGACTATTACCAGAAATACATTTATTAAAAAATAAATATCACTAGCAATACATTTTTGAAAAAAAAATAGTACCAGCTATACATTTTTGAGGAAAAAAATATTATTAGAAATACATTTTTGAAGGAAAAATATTACCAGAAATAGATTTTTTGACAGAACAAAATATTACCAGCAATAAAAATTTTTTCGGCATTAAATAACCCATAGAGGTTGATATGCCGTAAACCAAACCAAACCAAACCAAAAATATAAACGATTTAATAAACGGGAATAAAATATTTTAAAAACGAATATCATTCGATATCTACTAACACAAAAGATCAGAAAGCGGCGACTACTTGGAATTTCAATGTATGTATTCAGCAAGGTTCAATAAGGAATTCAAGTGAATAATGGACACCCTCCTCTTGCGGGTGGGCAACTGCGTGTGTGTCTGACGACACGTCTGTCTCTGTCGTTCCGTCCCGTCTACCTTGCATCCTCAAAATCGAGCTGAATTTATGCATAATTCTCCGCCCAGATATCAAACTGTGCATCCGCCAAAATAACTCAATTTTCCATTGTCTAAAGACAGGGTTAAATACCAAATCCTATGTTTTGATTTTACACCATTTCATTCAGAGCCATAACTCCAAAACCCAAACATATTCGGCTGAAACGAAAAATATATACTCTGACCTTTCCAATTCAAGGTCACAGCTGCTGTTTCGACAAATCTTCCTGCCTGGAAAAATTAATAAGCATTACAATAACACAAACCAATCCTTTCCAAAACGTCGCCTTGGAATTTAAAAACTACGATATTTGCCAATAACAAGTTACCTATGTATATCGGTTGAAATGAATTTATAACCGATTATATGATGAATATTTAAGTCTTTTCCTTATTATATAGGGTGGACTTTTCCCGCCGTATTCGACTTAGTGGGGTTAAGCCGTTCAGTTCCCAGGAACCGACAGCCCAGACATCAGCACATACGATTTAATTATAGTGGCGAAGGCTTTGTGCAGAACCAACCACACTTTTTGAAGGACCGAATACAGAAACCTGGTGCACTACGTGCCACAAGGTCCCCAAACGACCCTCCGCAGGTTTTGAATTCAGAGTTGTCCTTCTCCTAGACCAGCTGCCATCCAGGGCTATAGAACCCAGTCTGTCCTGCTATTTATCCATAGCTGGAGGGAGAAGAAGATTCATACCTTTCCCAAGGGTATTAGCACGTAAGTGAATGTAATGGATTCGACTGGAATTCGAACTTGGCATATATACAAGGAATCAGTCAGTTATGTGCCATGCGTGATGCACCATTAGGTGATCATGTATCTTTCGATACATCACAGACGAGGCAGATCTTTTTTTTTCCCGCAGTAGGTTGCCATTTCTTTCTGTGGTAGACCAGTTGCCATCTAAGGCTATAGAACCCGATCTGTCCTGCTATTTACCCATAGCCGAGATGGAGAAGAAGAAGAAGAAGGGTATTAGCACGTAAGTGAATGTAACGGATTCGACTGGAAATCGAACTCGGCTCTCCGATTCCTCAATCCGAGCCGCTATCCACTGTTCTTATATGTTTAAAATTCGCTATATTTGCTTGAGACTAAGACGAAGCCAAAGACGCCTTCCCATGTCGTAATGTCAAGCAAGATAGTTTCGCAGATTGTTACTGCTGTCGATAGTTCTATCGCCATAGCGTACTCGTACTTACGGCCTTGAACTGAACTGACCTAAAGTTTCAAGTTAAGAAATCAGCTTTTATATATTCACACAAGCCAAAATTTTGTCGGTGTCCCTCACTTCATATCAGTAGAAGAAGAAAATAACCCAGCTCGTACAGTTAATTACTAAAACGGTGGCGGGATATGACACATGGGCCCAGGATAAAAATTGCTACTGTCAGATTGGCGTCAGTATTTCACCAACCATCCCTCTTTAGTGTAACGATGGAGGTATTGATACAGTGTTGGAATCACCGGTAACATTCTATCTATCTATCTATCTATCTATCTATCTATCTATGTTTGCCAAATGACCAAAGGTATTAGGTTGGTGCAAAAATAAGGACGTAATAATGTCGTTTTTTGACGTATTTTTTAACGTCAATAAACGACATTATCCCGTCATTATTTTTGCACCAACCTAATAATAAAAAATTAAAAAAGAAAAACAAAACCAATGATGATCTTTCCCCCTTAAACTGGAATTCGATTGTTATTATTGTCTGAAAAAAAAAAAAACGGTGGAAGAACATATGGAACTCATAGAAAATAAGCACACACAAAAAAATAATCATTCATAAGAAAGAGATCGTAGGCGGTGAAGAGACTCAAAGCTTTCCCGTGAAATTTCCGAAGACTGAAATACGTCAGAGAAGTGAAGGGCAGATACTACACTTGTTATTTACTCGTTTCGCCCTCTTTGGTAAAACTGAGGGAGGCCCTTACCCCAAAGTTGAAATCCCCGGGACATGGAACCTCTCATTTATTTGTTTTGTTCTTTCCGAAGGCAGAAAAACAATTGAGAGATAAAATGTATTCATCCCAAAAGCAGATACTAAACGTTGTATTTACACGCCGCCCCATGCTTGCAGGATGGGGCATAAGGTGAGTTTAATGTGGGGATTCCGAGCGCGTGCACCCGGGCCAGGTCCAAAAATAGTCGACGGGTGCGCTGGCTTCGGTATTGCTATCGATTCACACCTCTTTAGTGAAATGAGGGAGGTAATGCCGCGGGGAGCTGTTCTCCAAGACCAGGTACCTCTCAATATCTTTAGTTGTGATCTACTCGAAGAAAAAAACAAAACTGAGTTGCACTCTGTCTGAAGACAGAAACACGAATTGAGAGATAAAATGTAGATTGTCTGCCCGGAGACAGATTATTTACTTGCCGCTGTTAGGATGTGACATAGGCTCAGTTTAATGTTGAGAGCCCACGCGCATACACTCGAGCCAGGTCCGAAGGCAAAAGCACAACTGAGTTGAACTCTGTCCGAAGACAGAAACACAATTGAGAAATAAAATCTAGATTTTCTGCCCGAAGGCAGATTATTTACTTGCCGATGGTGGGATGTGGGCTGACAACATTAAACTGATCGTTTAATGTTGAGAACCTGCGAAAATGCACACGGGCCAAGTCCGAAGGCAAAAGCACAACTGAGTTGCACTCTGTCCGAATACAGAAACACGAATTGAGAGATAAAATGTAGTTTGTCCGGAATAAGGGAATATATCTAAAATAAATCAAAATAATTGCATTTTGTTAACAACTACACCGAATTGTTTAAACAAGTGAAAAATAATAAAAAAAAAATTGTTGAATTTATTTTATCAACATTAATATAAATATTAGAAAATTGTCCCTATGTTTCTCTCATGTTCAGCTCTATGTGACTTTGTCTAGAGTAAGAAATGCAAGTGGACTTCACAGAACAACAAAACGAACTTTCGGAAAAAGATATCTTGTTGAAAATCTCTTTTATACAAACAAATTTAAAAAGGTAAAAGAACTTCTATGATAAATTAATTTTCTCTTTCCGTAGAAAGGTATTTGGCTAGTAATATTAAAAATGAAGAAATGCCAGAGGAAAAAGTAAAATGATTAAAAAAGACAAAGAAAAGATTATTGTCTGAAACAAAAAAGGGTGGAAGAACATATGGAACTCATAGAAAATAAGCACACACAAAAAAAATAATCATTCATAAGAAGGAGATCGTAGGCGGTGAAGAGACTTATTAGGAGTAAAATATGATAAAAACATTATAAAAACATTATATATATATATATACACATACATACATATATATATATATATATATATATATATGTATATATGTATGTATGTATGAAACAAACACGATGAAGAAAGAGTAAGATGCAGCAAGGATAAGAAGTGGACGAAGAAAGAAGTGGAGGCGAATAAAACTCGTGAGAGATTTCGAGGAAAAAAAGAGTGGGTGTGAGATGGCGTCCGGTGTCTGATTGATCGTCTGTCCGTAGCTGTCGAGTCCACTGTCCACTCACGCCGGTCTTCCATTGTATTGCACATTGCACGTTCCCAGCCGAGTATATCCTTATTGATGACTGACAACGCAACTGCACACTGTAACCAGCCTTGCCCGGACACTAGTCTTCTGTGCACTTGTACAATTTCATGCAAATGCAACTTGGTGGCAAACTTCAACTTGTATTGAAGATGAGCCACAATCTATCTATCTATCTATCTATCTATCTATCTATCTATCTATCTATCTATCTATCTATCTATCTCAGTTTGTACACATCTATATATTTATCTATCTCAATCGGTATATCTATATATATATAGATATCGATTACCTATTTATGTTCATATCTAGCCGTCTAGTTCAGCCTGTACACATTTATATCACTATCTATCTATCTATCTATCTCTATCTATCTATCTATCTATATATATATATATATATATATATATATATATATATAAATGTATAAAATCTATCTATGTATCTCAGTGTGTTCACACCTATCTATCTATCTATCTATCTATCTATCTATCTATCTATCTATCTATATCTATCTATCTATCTATCTATCTATCTATCTATATATATATATATATATATATATATAATCTGTGTATCTATCTATCTATCTATCTATCTATCTATCTATCTATCTATCTATCTATCTCAGTTTGTACACATCTATATATCTATCTATCTCAATATATATATATATAAAATTATCGATTTATTTTCATATCTAGCTGTCAAGTTCAGTCTGTACACATTTCTATCTATCTATCTATCTATCTATCTATCTATCTATCTATCTATCTATCTAA